GCACTACCTAATATTTCTATGTCAAAACTCACAAGGTCGATCCTTAGTCGAGGAAAAAGTACATTAGGATTCTGTTCAAAACTCTCGAACAAAGTTATATACAACTCTCTATATATATCGAGAGGTTGATTATAGAATTCGGTTTACTCACTTTAAGAGACTCGAAAACAGAAAGGGTGGTACATGTTTTGAATCCTACTCTGATCTTTACCACTAAGTAACAAGGAGAAGATTTTTCCACAAAAATGTAAAGCTCAGTACGTGTACTGATAAAGATCTTTTGCTTGTGCGAGTACTAATTGAATCATGCATTAGCAGCATTACACAGCTGGAAATCTAATGTAATGTCATGTGATGAATCTGATGATCATAAAATGAGAAAAAAAAATTGACATAAAGTAGGTGGTTCCAACTCCCAACTGGTTGAAACGTAATTAATTTTCTGAAATTTTTTTGATATACTAGGATCAGAAGAACTAGATTCTTGTAATATCAGTAAGAATTCAACTATAGTCAATGATATTTTGAAGCTTACTTTAAAAATTAGCTTTCAACAACATCATGAAAAAAAGTCATCTGGTTGAGCACCAGACTCAAAAAGCGTGAGTCGGGCTTTCTTCGCCTCTTAGCAAGAAAACTAGCAGCCCTTTACTTATAAGTAAACAAGTACGTTTTTAAAATAAATATTTTTTTGTTGATCAAAATAGAAAATAAGTCACTTGGTTTGATAGTGTAATAAGAATTATTTTATGTAAGTACTCCAAACGCTTTTGGAAATAAAAAGTTACTTATAAGTTAAGAAAAACCAAGAGGTAAGAACTGAAAATAAAAACAAATAAAGGAATATCTCGTGATGGAGAGAGCTTGAGAAGAGAGATACACTAAAATAAGTAATAAGAGAGTTGACAGAGAGAAGAATCTTATATCTCTTTACAATGTACTTATAAATTGGGGTTCATGTAATTGAAATGTACACAAAGGAATTCCAATATATAAGTAAAAAAGCCAGTGGGATATCTATCTTTGCTTCTGAATTATGGTATGGCTACCAATTATAAGCGATTCTTCACATCCTTGAAAATGTAATTAACTTCAATTATTGCTTGTCTGCAGGAAAAGATGAATCCCAGTACATCTTTAAGCACATTTAACCAGAAGAAAGGAGGTTTCAGGACCTGCACGTTTGTTTTCGGTAAGTAAACGTGGAGTCTAAATATAGTGTACACTCGTCCCCTCGATTGTCGATCACCCAAATATTCCTAGAAATAGTGGATTACTGTAAATCTGTGTATTTGCGAGTTTGGTACTTTTTTAAATTTTCTCGTAATTGGGATTAGGACTTAATCTGTAATAGTAAGTTACTCGAAAGATCAACGAGTAAATAACGTTCAATGTATGTTCTCTTTAGTGTTGGGAACTCTCGAGAACATAGGATTCGTCGCAAACATGTTATTTATGGTTCTCTACTTCAGCATGGTGATGCACTTCAATATTTCGACTGCTGCAAACACTCTCACAGACTTCCTTGGTTCGACTTTCCTGCTCACCATCTTGGGAGGCTTCATATCAGATACTTACTTGAATAGGCTCTACACATGCCTGATTTTCGGTTTTCTTGAAATTACGGTAAACATTTCAATCCCGATTTCATTTCTCGAACAAATTCTCCCCGTCCCTCCTGCTCATATTCTCGTGTTGGTTTTTCGTCAACAGGGACTACTGCTGGTTACAATCCAAGCATACTCAAAAAGTTTGCAGCCAGATCCTTGCACGGAGTCAACCTGTATCAAGGGTCGACAAGCTTTTATGTTGTCTACATCATTGTGACTGCTGGCTTTAGGGGCTGGTGGAGTTAAAGGAGTCATTGCAGCACTTGGTGCAGATCAATTTGATCATAAGGACCAGAAGGGTGCACAGGGTTTGGCCAGCTATTTCAATTACTATCAATTTAGTGCAACCATTGGATCAATAATAGGAGTTACTGCTGTTGTATGGGTTGCTATGAATAAAGGTTGGTACTGGGGTTTCTTCATTGGTTTGGTTACTGCCTTTATTGAATTTGTGGTACTTGCACTGGGAAAGCCTTTCTATCACTTCCAACCATTAGCCAATAGCCCCATTCTTCGGGTATCACAGGTCAGTTTACAATCTCTCTCTCTCTCTCTCTCTCCCTCCTAGTTTGAACTGCATCACCTAGAAGCTTAAATTGTTAAGGTCAGGAATTCAGCAGAAATTCGTTTTCTTTTATTCTGATACATGCACAATTTTCATTGATAACGTGTAGTTCAAGTGGAATGAAGTTCATTTTTGTTGGGATTTCTTTGATCTAAAACTCTTTTTCAGAGAGCTCTTATCATTTTGTATGGAGGAGAGTGGATACCGGTTATTTAAATAAACATATAAACATATATACCCTGCTGTTCTTCCTAAACAGGCCAAAGGAGAAGGAGAATTCTTTTGGAACTACATCTTTCTTAAACGTTTTTCTTCTTCTATATTTCCTTCATAGATTGTTCATACAACTTGGCTCTATTCATAGCCAACCTTTGATAGATAAATATTTACTAGATATTTCTACCATTTGACAATCCACTTGATTGTAGTAGCTCACAATTAGCCTATCTGTCTATCATTACATACTTAGACTTTAACCAAACTAAGTAACTAAATACTCAACCAAGAATACAATTAAAAAAAGGTGACAACAAAATGTCACAATTCCAACACTTATCCATGACATTTTGGTTGAAACCTTTTAATCAAATCTTCTTCATGCTTCAGCCATTTCATTCTCTTCTTCATTTTCTCTTTTTCAGCACTTTCAACTGCTGTTTTTCTTCAAATTTCCAACCTTCTGTTTTTGTGACTGCAAGTCTTGAAGTCTTTGTTTTTTATTTGATCCAAACTCCATTGGTTGCAACTCTTCTTTCATAGTTGATCAACTTTCTTTGGCATATACTCAACATCACCCAAAGAACCCTCTTCTTGCATCTTCTCATCAGATTTTGA